CTCGACACGCACGATCTCCGCAGAGGGTTGCGCGGGCACCGGACAAATCGCACTCTCGCCTGCATTTCGCGCACTCGACACGCACGATCTCCGCAGAGGGTTGCGCGCGCATGGGACAAATCGCACTCTCGCCTGCATTTCGCGCACTCGACACGGACGATCTCCGCAGATGGTTGCGCGCGCATGGGACAAATCGCACTCTCGCTTGCATTTCGCACACTCGACACGCACGATCTCCGCAGAGGGTTGCGCGTCAAGTCTCCAAAACGAGCGTTTCGCACGAGACTTCCTCAAAAACTCACACGTCAAAGTCTGCAAAACGAGCGTTTCGTACGAGACTTCCTCCAAAAGTCAAGCGGAAACACCCATCGGAGCACCCACATCACGCAGCCCTGCCAAGCAGTTTCGCGATTCCAGCCCCTCCAAACACCATCCGCTCACACGCCAATCCCAATGTGACAGCGACATTCACCTCTACCACAACTCACAACCTCACGATTCCCTGCACCTGCCACGAATCTTTCCGCGTCCACACGTCCAACGCGCACAAAGTACTGCGCCTGCCACGAAATGTCACCTCCGTCACACCTCGCAACCTCACGATTCCCTGCGCCTGCCACGAAACTCGCACTTCCACACCTCAAAGCCCGCACAAAGTCCTGCGCCTGCCACGAAACGTGACAATATCATCTCACGTGAGCTTCAACAAAATTTGCACCACACCACACGCTTGGAATGATTTCCACCCGTTCCGAGCACACTGCCATCCACCCAAATCGCCATTTCAGCTGAGACTTGTCACGAAAACCGAGCTTCGATGCCACACCCTGAAACGCAAATCCCAATGGCACGGCCACATCCAACACCCCAAAAACACGACTCTCCCAACGCTAATCCCAATGGAACTGCGCAGCAATCTGCGGATCTCACAAAACGCTGCGCCTGTGCAGCGAAATGCATCACGTTTCTTGCGCGACATGTCGTTGTCATGCAAATCACAATGGAATAGCGGTGCAAACTGACACGTAACACATCCATGAAAAGTCACTTGCAAAAGCTTCCCCCAATGGCAGCAAATTTGAGACGCGACGACGACGACACGACGACGACAAACGACGACAGACGACGAGAGACGACGACACGACGCAAGCCATGCAAACACAGCTCCAACCCCCAAACCCCCAACTATAAACGGGAACCCTTCGCTACGCATTCGGGAATAAGAGCCTTTCTCCAAACCTTTCCCCAACTGCAGTTTTCCTTTCACAAAGATTCATAATAATCTTAAGTCCTACCTAAATTCTTTCATAGAGGTTTATGACGTTGCAAGACTGAGCCATTGTTTGATGATACAGGCCAAGTCTTCAAACTCGAAGCTCTCGTGTCAAAGCTGCAAAAATGACATGTCCCCTCAAAAATAAACCTGAAGACCATCTCCACTATATATGTGCTCATCTCAATAAACCTGAAGGCCTCGCTGTCTTCCCCGGCCGGGTCGACCCCGCATCCGGCTCGACTCCACTGGGATCAGCGCCGGAGCATCCTTTTGGGCCGCCTCGCTGGCCTTGGCCTTGCGGGTTTCGCGAGTCGGGGTTCCATGGGGCGAAGTGGTAGGCAACGGGCTAATAGGTCATGGCCCCCAGGATCAAATGGGGAGGGGGTGTGGCTTTGTCCAAAAGAACATGAGGCGGCTTCGGACATTCCTGTCTGCAAAAGATGAAACCTTCTGGTGTTGAGGCACTCATAAACCCATGCGACGTTGAATTATATACTCAAGAAACTGACATTGCTCTGGTTTGACGAAACACCTCATCTCAGGTTCCCCTTCAGGCAAGTCTGCTCTATGGCCCCTTCAGGTTCTGTATGGAGAAAGATTCACATAGGCACAGTACAGTACATAATCGGACAGTATGGATGCTGCTGCCGCGATTGAATTACAAGACATGTGTGACAGAAACGTGCGCACTTGGATGAAAGCAACCATCACACGGTGATTGAATGAATCTGCCAGAATCCATGCAAGATCCGAGGCTCTGTCCTTGAGTGCACTGGCCAAAGGGATAAAATAGTTGCTAAAGTCTTGAAGTGCTGTTTGCTGGCACGAGTCCTGGCAGGTCGGCTCAACGACTCAAAGCGAAGCAAATGTGTTGCCGACTCAAGGCACAGTTGCTTGGCTTAACTGCAAACTCAAGGCATTCCCAAGTCCTTGAGAGCTAGCAGCATCCACGAGCGAGACTTCTGCTCATAAGCACCATCAGTCAAGGGATGCTGTAGAATCTCCAATGGCATGCTTCGAAGAACCTGCAGCTGCTCAAGGCAACAAACATAATGAGTACAAGCATCAAAAAGAGGTGAAGCAACTCAACAATGAAACCTGTGCAACTACATGCCACTACTACGTACCTGCCTAGAATTCCCGAATTTAGACTCGATCTCCGACTCTCCGTTCTCACACTCTGCACGGATCGACCTGCTGAGGGCCGAAGGTCTTGATCACAGAGGCGATCGCCTCTTGAAGCTCCTCATGGCGCGGCAGAAAGACGCCAAGCGTTTTGATGTCTACAACCGTCTACAACGCCGAGCACGTTTCTTTCTTTCTTTAAAGCCCGTGGCCTGGTTCCTTATTTATATAACTAAGTAGGCGCCTACTTAATCAAGCAAGGAGGTAGGCTCCTTAAGTAGGCGTCTACTTCATCAAGTAAGGGACAAACTTGTTCGTTCCTAGCTACTAGACGACGCTACTACCTACTGGACGCAGGATAGCGCTTGCACTAATGATTTGGTCCCTAGATTTTTAGGTCTCACTTCACCAGTGAGACTTCACCGTGACGAACGGCTTGAAGCGGTATGAAATGGACAAAAGAAAGAGCTGCATTTTGTCGGTGGGATCCTGTGGGTTTGCACGGATTGCACCTGATGATTCATGGCATGGCATGACGGATCTGATATGATTGGCACGGGTCCTTGCCATACACATTCAGCTCCCCCGACCTGGACTTGTCGCGCACCTGGCGTCTTGGCGTCGCATCGAAAAGGCCCATGGGGAAACTCTAGAGATGTTCCTCAGAACATCTGAAGGGATTCGAGGTGAGGAGGGCCGAATGCCACGGCGATATAACGAACTGAGGAGCCTGAGTCATCTGCAAGACTCTAAAAGCAACGTGAGTAAAATCAAGTTGGCCGGTCTGCGATCTGCAGAAAAAAGGTTACACAAGTCACAACACAAAACGAAGAAGTGCTCAGATCAACTGTCTCAAGCACGCCTCTATCAGCTCGCAAATCAACGGCTTTGCGCGCCTCGAAGGAATTACTTTGGGTCAGACTCCATCATAAAGCTTGAGGTCGAATAGTCATCAGGAAACACGACGTGTTTGATTGCTACATGTGGGTCAATTGAGGAGGGGATGGATCGTCAGGTAAGCTCTCATCCAAGGAATGCTCAACAAAGCAATACCACAATCATGTGAAGACCTTCGTCCAGTCCTTTTCATACAATTTCACACTCGCATACCCTATTTGTTTACATTTCATCACAAAAGCTGTGGATTTCCACGGAGAATAAATCCCACGCTTCCAATGGAGCGGCAAGTCAAGTCACTGGAAAGTGGCCGCATCCCACTGCTGAAGATTGGTCACGTCTGGCGATCGCCGTTTCAGCTTGTCAAAAAAAAAGCCTTCACACTCTTAACTCTACATTGTCATCAAAAAAATGCAGAAATACATCCAGGAGTTCCAAAGCTTGCAAGCGACCCAAGGTCAAGAAAGTATCCGTGAAACGTGACCAGGAAAATGTGTCCACTAAATGTATGCCTATCCCAACCTAGTCTTGAGCGTCGGCTGCCCAATGCATCGAATAGAGCTCCCACCTGTGCATTGCAGAAACGTCCAATATAGAGAGTATGGCAAATGTTTCATGAGAGTCTTGGCAGTGATGGTGAACATGAAAGCCTGCAAACTAAGGTGTACACGGGGTATACGGTATGTAACGTAATGCAATGTACTGTAATATATATATATACATATGTATATAAATATAATATATATATATATATATAGAGAGAGCCTATTCTATAGCTGTATCATCAACATCTGGATGCCAAGCAGCAGCTGGCAGCGCGAAGGTCCAAGAGCCTTTGGTTTCAAAGCCTGGGCTCTCCAATGGGGAACCACTTGGGCGAGCACAGCTCATGCACCAGGACATAAATTCTCTGGGAGATGGGTGAGTCAACTGCATAATACAGTAGTAGCGCCACAAACAAAAGAATGAACAACAAACAAGAAGTGTTTTCCCATTTCTTCGTTCAGCTTCTCTCACAAACCTTGATTGACTCGCTGCCGCTGCCTCTTGCGAAGCCCACTTTCCCATGCAACAAAAGGATGTGGTGAATCTCCGCAGAAGAACCGCGAAGCCTGATTGCACCTATCGTTGCAATAGAGTATATACATCCTCAAACCCCGACAAAGCCCGCCCTAACAACTGGCAAAACTAAAACGTAATCCGGAAATCCTTGCCTCAGCAAAGGGTACTCTGGTATGCTCTGGTTTATCCTCCGGCATTTCTCCCAAGCTGCGCAGCAGTGGTCGAAGTGCTTCTAGAAGGTCCTGAAGCCGAACATATGAATCAACACTTAGAAGACGTAGAAAAGGAAAAACAAACAACACGGATTTTTGTTTGTGAAGCAACACTACTTCTCATGTGTGTGTTCACTCTAAGCTTTTTGATGTTCATCGTAAGAAAATGTTTCTCAGATTGGAACGGCTGTGGCATTTTGTCCTGCAGAAGCTGATCATCTTCTCCGTCCCCAGCAGCAGTGAAAATGCTGGAGCATGCCTCTCATCCGCCCGAAATCGAGATCTGCATTGATGTGGCCTCCTATGACGCTACTAGGAGCAAAGGGCATCGCTACTAGGAGCAAGGACGCTACTAGGGGCTCCTGGCCGTACTACTAGGAAAAATGTTTGCTATTAAAAGAGCTCGGTGGCCTCCTTGGCCGCACGCAGCAGTCCAGGGTCTTGCTCTGCAAAGAGTGACCTCATTTTCAACATGCGCATCCTGTTCACCTCCACACCGAGAAATGGGGACATGTTGTTACTAGTAGCTTGCTGCTCCTAGTAGTACGGCCAGGAGCCCCGAACGTAGCGTCCTTGTTCCTAGTAGCGATGCCAGGAGCCCCTAGTAGCTTCTTGCTCCTGTAGTAAATGGGAAATGGATACGTCTATTGTAGATGGGATAGATCTAGAAATGGGAATATGTCTGTAAGATGATTCTAGATATTGATGGTATACACGGACAAGCTCTGAGAAACCCTTTGTTGCAGTGATGTTGGGCAAATTGCGAGGAGTTGCCTCTAAAGCCTAGACAAATGCAATTGGTGTGGCTGACCCCTCCAGAGTCAAAGCCTGACCTTGCAGCAAAACGTCAAGCTGAGCACTCAACAAGATCTTCTTCGTTGCAGCAAGCTTCAAGGGCGTGGCCTGCATCCATCGGCGTATGTGACACCATCACACAGCTCACGTGGCCATCTCCAATCGTGGACAGACTGCATAGCATGACACAATTGAAATAAAGTGGAAAAGTGGAAGTCAACAAAAACACAAACACACACAGTCCTTAGCTCCAAGTCAAGCAACCATGCAAAATCAAGGGAACTCAATCGTGGAACAAAGGGCTCCGGTGTGGAACAACGATGTCCAAAAATCTGCCTCCTTGCCACAAAGTTGTGCAACTGCCGCGGCCATCGCTTTGGCGAAGGCCGAGACATACCTAGCAGTAGAACCATACGGTGAGGCGACTCGGCAGCCCAGACCAAACATCTCATTCATCTCAAAGTAGAACCATCTCAATCAACACTTCAACATAAAAGCCTGGGCTTTGCAGAAATGGTAGATCCGCTGACAAGCTGATCACGCAACAAAAGTATACACTGGTGTTGTGAAAAAGTTGCCAAATCCTCGCTAATTCAAAGCAAAGACAGGTGTGCAAAAAGACATCGGAAGGTTTGCACATGTCTGCTTGACACAACGTACAGCCCGTACAGCATTAATTAATGCTGCCAACATACGCAACGTTCAGCATGGAGAGAGGCACCTCAACCATTCCTCGGGTCTTCAATGACACCATGACCAAAGACCTTCATCCCGCACTATCCTTGATTAAAGCACTGGTCTAAATTTCAGGTAACATCGAGCTCAAACAAACAACATCTGGAAGAGCGAGTGTGGCGCCTATCAAAAACATACAGTGACTTGTCCTGCCTGGTAGAAAGCGGCCTGCCAGCTCCGTTCGATTGGGCTGAGCCTTGGCAGTGGGGTCCACACCGATGTGATCATGTGATCCAAATAGCAGCTTCTTGCTCCGTTCGTAGCGATGCCAGGAGCCCCTAGTAGCTTCGGAGACCGAAAATAGCAGGATGGATGCCTAAAGCTGTTGGTCCGCCAACACGAATCTGACTCTGAGATAGTCAGAACCCTGTTCACACAAGAACCCTTCATGCACTAAGTCCAGGTGTTTGTTTAAAAAACACAGTCCTGTCACTGTCTCGAAGAAAAGCATCAAGCTGCATGGTTTGACAAAATCAAGCAAAACAACGTAAACGTAGACAATGAGAAATAGACAATTCCACACAATTCCCACACTCCTGAAACTTGGGGGGCATGCTTCTGCTTTCATGTCCTCATCGTCATCCTCATCCCACTTCTCCTCGAACACCAACAACATCCAACAACCAAGCATGACAAAAACAATAATAATATAACAAATCCATTTCTTTCATGATTTTCATGCCTATTTAAGACCAACAAAGTGTGAACTACGGGTCCAAACACTTATCATCCAAGGTGAAGTTGATCAGTCCGTGCGACGTGTCCTTTTTCAGCGTGCGACGTTTCCGGGCTCGCCTTGTTGGAGGTGGTCCCCCTCTTCTCACTCGCAAGGTGATTAAGGTTGATGAAGGCTTGGTGTCCCTAGTGTCCTTCGTTGGGATTTTCATCTCCCCTTCCCAAGGCTTTCGGAGTCTCCATCGCACAGGTCCTCACCATCGCACCATCGTATCTCTCGGTCCTCTGGGGTGAAATGCTCGGCCGCGAACTCAAAGGCCGCAGTGCAGCATGGGTGCTGCCTCGGAGGGCCACGAATCACGTGGAGTTGCGGCGCGGAGAAGGCCGGGCACCAAACCCCAGCAAGGCAGGAAGCCTCAGGCAAAAGCAGTTCACGAGGCCAGATCAGGGGTTTATTTCCCGTTGCACTCTTACACCAAACTGGCACAAATCATGTTCCAAGTCTTTGTATCTTTGCTTCTGCTAGCGTACCCACCCTTCGACCTATTCATTTGCATGCAGAGTTTGTATTAACAATCAATCTAATCCTTACCCATCCTCTGCTGTGTCAAGCATGCTTGGTTTAATCTCGAACATCGCAGTCAAACACACTGAGACTCTACGGCGGAAACAACTGTCAAATGCAGAAAATGCATCAAATCAAAACCTCCGAAATCCCCCAAAGCGCCGGGGCCTGGTGAGAGCAACAAAGATGTCGCCCAGCTGCCTGGTCAGGGGGGGTGCCAAGTTCCATGCGTGGAAGAGATGGGTGGGACGGATTCAGGGGGGTGTTCGAAACCTAGGACGTTTGAGGCAAGATGTTGTTCACTCATGTTCGCTCTAATAAACAATGATGGTCCAAATTTTGTCAGATATTTATATAGACTTTATAGAGATTTAGATAGTTCATGGTCAAATATGTCTAAAATTCTCTAAAATACGATTTCTTCGATTTGCAACATGTCATCTGTGCTGTCGGCCGCATGGATCATGCTGGGATGCCCGGGCTGATCGGGGATTAACTGCGAGACAGCACGCAGGAGCGACACCGCCTGGGCAGAAGCAATCGCCTCCGACGTCCGACCCAGCAGGGATGTTTTGCTGTTACGAAATGACTGGTTTTCATTCACTTCCGCAAACTGCAAGGACATTGGGGTTCCTGATGTCTTTTCCAACCTCTTTCCTGGTTGATGTCGAGACAATCCCAGCCATTGGATCGACCAAATCGCTGAGATAGAAACACGCTGCGCAGGAATCTCCTCTGCCTGCGAAGACCATAAAGGGGACTACGAAGCATAAAGGTTGCTGGACAAAGGGAAGCCATCAGGACAATCAAAGCCATGAACACTTTTGGGCAGGGAATTTGTGAAAAGAACTTGGGACGAACGAGGGAGAAAAATCCCACACCCTTTGCATCAACTGATCAAACATGTTCAAACATGGGCCGCCAACCGGAGAACTCTACAAATTATGGACGTCTCAAAGCTAAAAAACTTCAACTTTTGGTTGCTTCAGTGGGCGTACTACCCGACGTGGTAACTTACCCCATCGCACATGAACTTTACCCACCCCCATGGCACACCGCTTACCCCACGAATGTAAGAACTTACCCCATTTGGAAAACACAATGACCAAACAATGATCGTCTACACTCCTAGACACAAAACTGTTCGCAACGACGCACTTGGGAGTACAGTAACTTGAGACAGAATCAATAGTGTCCCCTTGCGGTTTGGTCGAATTCTCAACCCATGATCAACAACAACGTACATACAATAAGGAATAAGGTAGCCCAATCAAGCTTTCCCCCAAGGGCACACCTCATCTGGCACAAGTTCATGCCATTTGAGACAAGTTAACCCGAGCACCCAGTAACTATTTCACTAGCAACGAACGCCGGGGGTCTTCAGCGCTGAACTTGAGTCAGCAAGTAGGGCGGACATTGAGTCGGAGCAAGGCATGCATGCTGTTAAATCTGGCTTCAGCCAAGATTTGCGCATCGTCTTGGAACACACCTCATGCCAAAACATCAATGCTGCTGGCTTGCGCTTGCCTTCTTGTCAGACCGGGATGCCGTTTGCAGCATCTGTGTCAATTGCTGCACTGCAAACTCAATGGTCTGCTGGTCCTGCAGCTGCCAATGCCCACAGAAAATTGAATTCAGGTTCACGATGTTCAATGAGGGTCTCTCGAATGGGTTGGGCAAGTAGGGCCATGATAATAACTGTTTTTTTTCATGACATGATGCATCAGAGCAAAGAAAGACATCCTGCTTCCGCTCCCCTCTGTGCCTCCTGCGCTTTCCGCAGAATGGCTATTGCGGAGAACTCCGCCTGCGGACGTCGACCCTTCTCGGCGAAGCTCGGCTTTTCCGGGGGCGCCCGCAAAAACCGCTCGACCGTGGCCTGGCGGCGCACCGCGCTTCTGGGATCCGACAAGTGGCTGAAGATGGGCTTCAGCACCTGCCGTTCAAAGCAACAGTGCATGAAATGTCCATCAGTACGGAAAGTATGGAAAGTCATGGAAAGTCTAAAATCATCAGTACGGATTATGGCTTCATGAAACACGATTCAATTGGTGGTTTCTCCCCAACCTCACGACGAAGTTCCCCGCGACATGTTCAACACGCCACGCCGCATGAGAACCCCAGCGGGACCTTTCGGTTGGGCCGCGCGTCAGCCGCATGAGCAGCCTCTGCGCAGCAACCCAAGCATTGCAGTGCCTTCGAGTCAGGCTGGCAATTCGGTGCTGACAACATGTTGCTTGTTGCAAACATCTGAAATTCTGTCTGTAAATCCTGCTGGGCTTATGCAGAAACAAAGCTCAGGCGGCAACATAGAGCTCCAAGCCACTACAGTCATGCAAACCCACAAACAAACAGGTAGAGAGCCACAAGCCTGTTGAGATGATATGGATGTTGCCAATGGGCACATGCTCTGCTGGATTATTGTGGGCTGGCTTGTTTCAAGAAGCCTAAGCCCTTCTCATCACCTCTTCGCAAACGCAAACATGTCAAAACAAGGTGCAGCTAAAGCTGCAATGGCATTGCGCAATCTTCCGTAAGGTCTGGCAAACTTAGCCCGCCTGCCGCGCAATTGTCTCGCTACATGATGACCGAAACCTCAAATGCACAAACCGATGCCGTTGAACAAAGCCAGGCATCAAGCCAAACAGAAAGAGCCAGGTGCAAAGCTCGAAAGAGGCAAGAGCCTCGTCATCCTTGCTGGATGTCTTTTTCCATCCCTACTAGTTACTATAGTTCCAACATGTTCCAACCCAAAGTGTAGAAGAACCCCCTCCAGTTCGTCCAACGTGTGGTGCTCGTGTTAGGGGGAAAGCCATGAGAAGATGGCTCGTCTAGGCTCGTCTTCGGACCTCGGAGCCCACACACGGGCGTCAAGGCCGTCACAATGTCATTCAGACCTCGGTGGTTCCGATGGGTGGATCGCCGAACGCCGAACGCTGTTGATCTCACAATGTGAAGAATCTGAGGTCATCAGCTCCACATAGAGGTGGGAGGGGTCACTTTTCTATACTTTTCTCAGTACATCATGCATTTGATGCGATCTTCGAGCTGCATCAGCCCCATCCAGCTCAGGTACCACCGCCCGACCGGGGCCTCTGGCGTCCCGCCACCAAGCTTGGCGGCAGGTGTGGCTGGGCACGACGCAGAATTAGCAGCAAGGCGGAGCAAGTCTCCTGAAGATGACAAGCCCTTCCCTTGAAAAAGCGTGGATTTCTGGCCTCACAAAGAGGATTCAGACATGAGTTCATCTTTTGCCCAATCAACAAAAAGTTGTTCATGGCATGAAATTGTGTCACCCCAGAAAAAGATAATGCTTGGAAACTGTATGATTGTGCTTGTAGTTGAGCCGTTGAATGTCTCTGAGAAGCTTGCATTGTGTAACATGTGGTCACCGAACCTCCTGACTTTCCAAGGCGCCCTTCTGGGTCAACTGCTTCTGCAGGGTTGAGACCTTGGAAACATCTTGTTGAGAATTTTGTCGTTTGCTTAATTCACCCCTGCACGGAATCCGGGTCTTCCTAGCGAAAGTATAGAATCAGGGCAATCTGGCTAGCTCTCCATGACGAGACATGTTCGTCTTAGCCGCTATCAACATTTGAAGGCCTGAGCTCCCTACCACTGCAGCAAAATAGGCCGGTCCACTGTTTGAGCACTTGCTACTGACAATGACTGAACGCATTGCCTGCAGCTGCAACAACTGTGGTTAGTGCAGGTTGGTTACAATTTGTTGCCATCCACTTCTCCTTCAACTGACTGCACATGGACACCCAGTGATGCCACTGTGAAAGCCTTCCTCACCCTAATCTAACTTTGACTCTCACTCTATCAAGCAATTTCTATGTAGCTGTAGCTTCATCTCCTAACCAGCACCTGCAAACATCTTGAGGCACTTTGACAGGCCGCATCCTTGCCAGGTGGATGCGGTGCACAACTGGCTGCATTGTGTACTGTAAGCCCTTTTCTCAAAATGCGAATGGTCCCTGCCGGCCGCTGACCTACTCAATCGTTCCACTATTGCAACCTACCTTTTGAAACTGGCTCTTTTCAAGTTGATTGGCCACGTTCAGCATTTCCCAATCTGCCGTTGTTTGGGACCCCCTGCGCCGCGGGCTGCACGTGCGTCGATCTCCCTCAGTGAAGAAGCCGCTTCGGAAGTGAGAGTCGGACGGTGAGAAGATCGACATCATGACAATTTGGCATTTGGATGCATTTGGTACTTTGATGTGTTTGTAGGTGGCTCTGCCTTACACATCCCCTTGTGATGTGTGCTGTCACCCTATGAACAGCCGAGTGCTCCAAGGCTCCTATGCAACGGTGCAGATCTGCCATGAGATATTTTGGCCAAAAGCTCTGCCCCCCCGATCTCGTGACTTTGATGACTCCGTCGACAGGACTGCCGTGAATTATCACTCAAGCAGAATTTGATCCGGGAAAGTGTCATATTCCTAGTAACAAGTGCCTTACTAGTAGTATCAAAAAGCTATTTGAAACAAGTGCCTCGCTAGTAGTAACAAGTGCCTTACTACCTGAGCAATTTGTTCCACACTGGATTCGACACGACAAACAGAGGCCCCAAGCTTCACAAAAGCTGGATCGGAGTCCATGGTGTCATGGCATGAGAACAGCCATCCAAGTGTCAGTTCTTTCAGCTTACAACCTACGAATCTATAGTTTGCATTTTTTCGATGTTACAACAGCAGTTTGAGCATTGGCATATCAGATTCAGAAGCCTGTCCACATAATGATATTGCTTTGTACTGGTAAAACATTGATGGTAAATCTGTATTCTGCATACTCGTGGAATGACAATGACGAGATGATTTGCTTGAAGTCATGCTTCTGCACTGACCATTTCACTTTTTGACAATCTCTTGAGATACCATGAATCTTTATCCTGGATAGGAATGCTGGCAGTGCACAAGGCAGTGCGTTCCCCATGCAAGGTGGTGACGGGAGTCGACTTGCCTATGGCATGCTGAGTGCTTTTGCCCAGCAAATGTCAAAGCTCTGTTTGGATTCACTTGGGAATGAGGGCTCCAGCGAACCCGGCTGTAGTGGGGATGACCAAGCCAACTTGGTTGCACTCGAGACCAACCAGAACCAGAGGTTTCCACCCCTGATATCCGGACCTGGCAACTGCAGAACAAACACTGCGCCTCTCGGCTTTTCCTCTCTCCTGTTGGACTCAACAGGACTTGCCTGACTCTACTTTTGTCGGACATGAATCAAAATTGGTTCTAACACCAACGAACCTGCCTTCATCAAAAAAAGCATCATGTCATTGTTGCCAAGCTAATTAGTGCGCACTTTACAGTACATCTCTGCAAAACATCAAAATCTCTGTTGAGAAAGAGAGTGAAATCCAGCAAAAAAAAAAACTGCTTGCGATTCAATCAGCCTTCTTCGGCTTTTTCTCCTCCTGGGAGGATATTTCAAGAATGGGATGCTATAATGATGGGGTACGTGTCAAGACCGAGATCATGTTTGCCAGCCACAAAGCAACTCAGACATTGAGCAAGTCCACGCACGCCAGTTTCATCTCCACAACATTGCAAACTCTGCCACTTTTCGGAAGGCACCGAATCTAGATTCACCATTGAGAATCAGAAGCGTTGGATGCTCCTTGCTCTCCTTTGGTGGCTCTGGACCCAGTTTCGCTGCCTTGCAGTAGTGCGCCTCCTTGGTGCAATAGTCCTTGGTTGAGTTGATTGGCACGGCACGCCCTTGCTCTGCATAACGTCTGATATACCCATGCACTGTCATGTTGATCTTATGGCACTTGACAGCACCCGCTCTGCAAAGGTATTGGACATCTCTGATAGCTAAGCAATGCTAAGCATCTCTAATGTCGATCTGCTCTCCATCCTGGCAGCAACTCACGAAGCGAGCTTTCCCAAGGAAAGGTGCAGGATGAGGATGTTGCAAACAGTCACGATCGTACTTTCAGGGGAACACGCAAGCGAAAAGGATATGTTTTCATGACTGAGCGACCGCATCACCCTCATTGAGCCAATCCCTATGCCGTGAAGAGAAGCTACTCGAGCCTTCCACTTTCCGTACAGGAAATCGTAGAAATCTTCTTCACCAACCTGATCAACCATTTGCCGACGGGGCGTTTCATGTCACAACGTCGGTGGGCCGAGGGCCTGCTCAAAGACCAGCTTTCGACACTCTTCGGCAAGGCGCTTTTTCCTAAGCTGGGGCGCTCATTGCGAGCTCTGAAAATACAGCTACTGGAGCAATGCCATTATATAAATGTAAGGGAATTAAGGGAAAGTATCTAGCGCCATCATGTAGGGGGAACAACAAATTGCACTACTTTGTGACATTTTAAGCTGATTTAAGCTGATCTGAATACCTCATTTTGATTCCTTTTGAAGCCAGTCAGCAAGTTCACAGTATGTTCCCGATTCACCGCCACATCCCGAGTCACATCCAAGGCTCCAGTTTTCGCCGCCCATCTGGATGGCTCCCATTCCAGGCCTCAGAATTGTCGGAGCCCACGCTGCGACTGACGCGTCCCTTCGGCCGGCGTTCTGGGTCCCCACGCTGCGTCCGGCTGGGTCCCCACGCTGCAGCTCCACGTTGTCTTTCAGGCCGGGCCTGGGAGGGTGCGGACGTTGCGAAAGCACCGTTCCAACGTCTGAGCTGGAGTGTGAAACTGCAGGGGCCAGAAACGCCCATGACAATGATCCTAGATAGGGCCGTTGAGCTTCATGGTCGGCTTCACATCGAATTGCGTTTCAAAGGAAGAACATCCCATCAGCCGGTGTTTGCTTGTTTTAGTTGAAGTCAACTAATCTTGGACACAACTAATGCTTGATTGTGTGAGGAGTGTTTGTGCATCAGATTGTTCATCCGAACGATCCTTTTGAGCTTTGGTGCTTGGCAAAACAACAGCTGATTGGCAGATCCAGCAGTTCAGGTTCAGCAAAATACAGGGGCCGGAACGAAGAACACCAACCATGGACCATGGCGTCAATTTACCAAGCAGATCTCACCGAACGCTTTCCTCTGGGGACAGGAATGCTACTGGACCAAACGGTTCTACGATGCTCGCCGTCCCAGGTGACCGAACCCGCTCAGGACGTTCTCGCCATTGACAAGCTTGATGCCATAGCCCTGCTGTCTAAAGACATGGCTCAAAGGGATGAAGCCAACCAGAGTGGCGCTGTCCCTGATGCTAGAACATGCTAGAACAACATGTTCAGTTCTTGGGCATCTTGAAGCGGGTCTACAGTGGCATCAATACATGGGTTGCATACCGCAAAATTTCCCACCTCAAAGGCAGAGCGACAGGTCTCCTCGAACAGATCCGTGTACTCCCAAGACTTCAACCTGCGTGAGACCAAGCGAGCCGATCACGAACCACTTCAAATCGAGAATGACCACCTACGTGTCAGAAGTTGTGGGGTTGGTGGTAGGGACTGACCCTCGGTTGCCTGCGGCTTTTTGGCTGCTGCTTGTTCAGCGCCTGCCAACACAAAATCCAGAATTACATACACGCCCATTGTAGTCAACGAACAGTCGATCTCGAAAAAAACGGAGTCCAAGTGACTCACAATTTTTTGTATGATGCAAGGGCGTGGTAGTAACAAGGACGCTAGTAGTAACAAGTGCATCGCTTCTAGTAACAAGTGCCTTACTAAGTAGTAACAAGAACGCTAGTCGTCCTCGTGCAAATGATGCACCACGGCTCGGCAAGAATCGCATTTGTAGCGATCGGGCATGTTGTAGCCATACTGGTCCTGGATGCCGTGCCGTCACGCTCCGTCACGTTCCTTTCTTTCACATTTTCCTCGTTTTTTCTCGGAGGAAACTCAGAAAGTCCTGGTAGGACTTGTTGATTCCTTCCATTCTCACACGCGCACGCGCACATCACCCACGGCCGAGCTCCTCTTCGGTCATTGATGGGGCTTCAATCTTCAAGGTCTGGCAATGGCATATCACAAAAAAAATATACAATCCGTCAAAGGACAACAGCTAAATATATTGTGTGGGGTATGGCTTGGCTTGAAATAGGTTTCCCGGAAAAAAAATAATGGATTGCAGGTACTAAATTTGCCTCCAGAATCGATTGCATGCATTTGTCGCATACTTGGTCACTCAACCCAACATCCTTGAAATATGTCTGGGCTGGAAGAATGCACCGTCACCTGGACCCTCTTGCCCTCGTCATTGACGCTTTCTTCCCAACCTGCACAAGTGCAGAAAGGCATTTGTTCGTGTGATAGCAATAAATGGAGACATAATGCACACCTCATGATCAGTTCAGTTCATGATGCTTTGTGGACCACACAATTCCCGCTGCCGAACCTCATGATTTTTGGCCACATGATTTTGCAGCAAGAGCCAACAAACAAATCAGTCCATGTCAAACTGGTCGAAAGGGCCTCCTTTGTCATCCTTTGCCACAGCTAGGAGCAAGACCTAAGGCAACTCCCCTCCTCTATGTGCTGAGAGTGCTGAGCAATGCAGGATCAAAAAAACCTCTATGACGAGTTGACTCAATACAGCCTTGCTTGCTAGAAGGAATTGGAGGTGCCTGAATTGAGATAAACATAGACAAACCCAAGTCCACATTAGCCGCAACTTCATGGCTTCAAGGATACCTCCACGAGGCACAGGAGAAAGATCATGGCGCTGCTGTCAAGGGCTAGTGACTGTAGGGGGCTGAAAGTGGGAATGGAAGCGAGGCGGAAGGCATTTCACTTCCGAATCTTCCACGCTTTGGTCGCGTGTTCAGATCGTTGAGGCCGCTCGGATGAAAGCCAAGCTGTTTGACTACGGTCGCTGTTTGACTTGGTCCCTTGGCATCTCCCCTTGATCCAAGCCAAGCTATTGGACGGCACTCAGCACAAGAGGCTCATGCAGGTTGCCCTGGCCAGGCGGCCTGGGTGAAACAATGGATCTCCTCCATAGCTGTTTTGGTCTCCTCCCAGCGTAGCGCCCTAGCTAGCTGGCTCCATCATGTGTGACTGCCAGGGACCAGGAGCATGGAAGGTGTCTCACAACCCCCCACAGCCCATGTGGTGGTGATCTATGTCGATAGCTTGGGAGCCACCCTGTCTTTGGCTTTGGGAAAGAATATTGTGTTGCAGGCATGAAATGGTCAACCTCCAAGCGACTCCAAGCAAATAGTTTGGCCAACAAACGTTCCGACATACAACAATTGGTGCCTGGGACCGCTTTTGGGACCTTTCACCAAAGCGCTGCAGGAAGGCATGACAACTAGGACCCCAGTCTTAGACAACCACGACGATGATCAGTCGGACCTGGAGTCGGACCTTCACAAATCACTTTTTGAACCAATGCACTTGCCAAGCGGCAAAAGTCGCTGTCTAGGACATCTTTATCCAATGTTGCTACACCGACCACCCTCAGTGGGTACTGCCTCCGGGACAAAGCCATAATCCTGTGATTGGACAAGGCAAGCAATTGATTGAGCAAGAATGAACAAGGCAAGGCAACTTGTATACAAAAAACAGTCTGCGCACGGCAGCTTGATGTTTATCAGCTGTTTTCTCCTGAATCTGAAAATACAAAACCACCAAGCCAGCCAAGGCCACCAGCAAGGCCAGGAAAGATGCCACCTGCACACCAAGGTAGACATCATATTGAGATGACTGAGAAGTACTTTCTTTCAACCTTTTGTTTGCGCTTTTGAAGATACATGATATACATGACTCAATGCCCTATGAGTATGAGCTTGAACTCCCTCTGATTGGGCAACGAGAATGATTCCGAAAGGTCTACATGCATTCGGAGTCCCACTTGATGGTCGCTTCCCGGTCGCTTCCAAAAGGCATGGCTTTGCCGGACGATTCCAATCCATCGATCGTGACTCGCTCAACGGGTGTGACTTTGGATCTTTCGGACCTCCACAAGGCTGCTCTGTTTCTTCGTGTCATTGGTGGCAAGGCGGAACAGCTGATACACCACAAGCCCCACCACCGCCAGGTAGCTTAGACCCTCAGTGGCACCGAGCAACCCAAAGGGCCCTGCAGGCAGGCCACAACCTTGCAGAACCAAAAAGGAGACTGACTCTGGCAAACTGCCATATCAAACGTTTTCACATGAAGAAACACTCGAGTAACAAGGAAGACACGATGAACACACACACATATATATAGATATATAATATAGTATAGAGGTGTAATATGGTGTAATACATGTGCATACAAAACCCAGGTCCAAAGAAAGATCGCAAAAGACCTAAACCACCCACTCCGATGACTTTACATCTGCTGCCGCCTGTGGTCTTCAAGGTCCATTCGCTCCAAGCCATCACCAGCGATGCGCCGATGCCCGCGGCACCCAGCGCGGTGCCATCCTCCCGCTCCACCCGCTCCGCTCGTTGGAGCACACGAACGCTGCGCGTGCGGAGCGAAGGAGCACGCGAACACTGAGCCCGGAGTCCAACGAAGCAACACGGTGCCACCGCTAGGACCAGCGCCACCAGAAGCACACTACGGGAACGTGCCATGATGCAAATCAAGCTATGCAAAGATTTGGTCCTCACCTTTTGGCTTTGGCACCCTTCGTCGGTGTGGTGGCAAGATATGTTTAGTTGACCATCATAGCGATTTCTGCCTCTGCACCGAGTGAGCTTTTATGATTCCATCAAAGTTCAACCCAAAGTCCGAGACTGTGGTTCAAGCGTCTTTCATATTAGGCGTGATGCCTTGCTGTTGGGTTCAAGTTCGAGTCCCGTCTTCAACCAAAGCAGCTGAAAGAGGAAGCGCCGCAGAAAGGATCTAGTACAGAATCTCTCTGACCATCGGGCCCACATTCCTACTAAAGAACAACTAAAAACATCCAAAAGATATTCGTGTTCCAAAGCTCCCGTCACGCAAATGCTCTTTTCAGCTGCCCTGTCACGGCAAGCTCATCTCGGGCACATCCTGTGGCGAACTGGGTGCCGGGGTCAATATCAAGTGGCCTCCACCTAATAGCGTCCTTGTTACTAGTAGTATGGCCACGAGCTACTAGTAGCGTCCTTGCTCCTAGTAGCGATGCCCTTTGTTCCTAGTAGCTTCATATTCAAGGCTTTCGTATGCCCTGCGGGCTAACTGGGAGACCTTCTTGTGCTTATGTAGTAGGTTGGCCACCTGATCCACCTCCGTCGCTTTGTGCAAGCTGAGAAATCTGAAAACCCACCATGCCTCGTCTCCGATGTAAAACTGCTGTGCGGTGCCTTCCACCTATCCGACTTTGACATCATGAAATCTAGGTGCCTATCACACTTCGGTGACTTGGATGGTCCACATGTCTGCCTTTTGACCTGAGCCGAACTGTGCAATTTTTCCTGGCCCTCCCCCCAAGGATCCATGGATCGATCTCTGTCGGAGACACCACAGAGACACGTGGTCTTGTGAGCACAACGGCGCCGGCGCCCTAAGTCATGTTTGAACTGCATCTTTGTCCCAGATATACAACCACCATTTCACAACGACCAACCAGTCAATCTGCCAGATGACCCAACTCTTGACCCACTATTTCCAATACAGATGCCGGTACTATCGGAAGTTCCTTTCAACAAGAGACTCCTCTAATGTCGCAAACTCCACCATTTCCGGTCATGGGAGAAGGTCCTGATCTGGCTCGCAGCGAACCGGACACCTATATATAATTCATGACAATACAAATACACTCTGTGTGTGACCTGATCCTCGAAACCATTCGCTTCCTTGCCAATCGAATTTCTGTCATCCATTTCAGTTCTTTCCAATGCCACTTCTGTCAGTTCGTCCCTGCTGTCAGGAAATCGTCCCTCCGGCAGTCGGTTTTGTGGTTTCTTTCGCGTTTGGTGGGTGATTCTTTCCCCTCCTCTATTTATTTAATCTGCGAATGTGTCATTTTGTACAAGCCCTTTCTAGTCCTTAATCTACCCCGCCCTATGGCCCTATGGTTGAAACAGGCAAGGATGGGCGACTCTGTGATCTGTCAGGTACCTCGTCACCGATGTAGAACTGTTGACTTGCACCAATGCAAGTGGGCACCTGGTGGCAGTGTAAAACGCATGCTGCCACCAGGTCTGCAACAAGATTGCTTCTGACTGTTCAACACAAATATCTCAAGCCTCAAGTGGGATAGCTCTTTTGGGGGATGTGAGGCAAACAAGCCTCGATTTTGATCTAAATAGTGCTTCACCATGGAGCACCCTTCCTCCAACAAACTTGGAACATGGCTGCTACGAGTAGTTTTCTCTACACTCTACACACATTGGCACTGGGGTACATATTATATAGTTTAATATATATATATATTATTTCAGCCAGTGGCCTCTATGTGTGTTGGGTATGTCCGTACATGTTGTCGTTGATGTTGGAGTTGATGTCCTGAATTTGCCCTTATGTACGTGTTGATGTTGGAGTTGATGTCCTGAATTTGCCCTTATGTAAGTGT